CCTCCTCCTCCTCCTCCTCCTCCTCCTCCTCCTCCTCCTCCTCCTCCTCCTCCTCCTCCTCCTCCTCCTCCTCCTCCTCCTCCTCCTCCTCCTCCTCCTCCTCCTCCCCCTCCCCCTCACCCTCACCCTCACCCTTACCTGGCGGTTTGACTTCGAGGCAGAAGAACCAGCGGAACCTCTGCTCCAGCTCCGCTAGCAGCGTGCAGCTGAACTTCGTCTCCAGCGTGTGCATCGAGAGGTCTGGCTCGCAGTGCGAGATGGAGGGGGCGGTCGGGAAGTTGGGCTTCTGCCTGGGAGGCAGCTGGAGGATGGTGCCTTGGAGCAACCTCGCGTTCATGTGCAGGGCAGGGTAGTTGTGCTTGTTGAGAGCAGTAAGAGCTTCTGCCGAGACCTGCGCGCGAGCAGCAGAGATCAGAGAACAGTGAGGCGGAGAGGGGACGAAGGAGAAGACGCAGGAGGGAGGGAGACGAGAGGAAGAGATATCGGGGGCGGTGGATGTACCCCGAGCTTCTTGGCGATGAGGCGAGGAGTCTCGTCGTCCTCAGCCACGTACTCGAGCATCTCCTCATAGTCGTCGTGATCCTCCTGCTCGAAAGCGTCCAAGGAGAACACGTCCCTCCTAGCCGACTCCTCCGCCTGCTGCGGCTCAGCCTCCCCATCCATCTCCTTCCCGTTCTCTCCATCATCGAAGTTGTCCTCATCCGCGTCGGCAGCTCGCTGGTCAGCTGAAGCTCTCTCTGCCTCCGCCCTCTTGCCGCTGGCCTCCGTCTCAACCGGGACGGCAGTGAGATCAGCGTGTCCGCGGGATTTCGGAAAATACTTGGAGAAGATCTTACGAACTTCGATCAGAACCTTGGCAACCAAGTCAGACAAGTCAACTGAGCGAAGGGGCGGGCAAAACCTCGGCAGGGTTCTCGTACTTGCCGTCCTTGACTTGTTTGATGATCTCCTGCATCTTGCTGTAGCTGTTCTTCTCTGACTTCTTTTGATTGCTGAAGATCAGCCAGGCACTGCTCATACACTTGCGTTACTCTCCTCCTCCTCCTCCTCCTCCTCCTCCTCCTCCTCCTCCTCCTCCTCCTCCTCCTCCTCCTCCTCCTCCTCCCAACACCCCTCACTCCTCCAACCTCTTTTCCCCCTAATTATTCGTTTCCCTCCTTTCCCTCCCTCTCTCCCCCTCCTCCATTCTCCCTAGAAGATCCACCTGGGCAGTTGAACCACCTCTTCCAGCATCGAGACACACAGCTCCTTCCAGTCCGCCACCCGCTGAAGCTGAAACGAGGCCTGCAAGAGCGTCAGCGTGCGGCTGTGCCCAACATCCCCCGGCTGACCGTCTGCTGGAGGTCATCCCGAAACTCTGAGGAAGGCAGCGAGTGATCGCGGAAGATGAAGGAGTGCTGGATGGTCTGAAGGATCTCGTGCGAGAGCTCATGCTCCAGGCTTCCCGACTCAGCTCCACTCAGCAGGTTCGGGATGATGGTCAACACTGAGCGACTGGACGAGGCGTCAGGAGGAGCAGGCGGAAACTGGAGACTGACATGTCGGCGACGACTTCGTCGGAGTTGGAGTAGTATCCATGCTTGAGCAGCACGACGATGGTGTACAGGTCGATCGGGTCGCTCTCCAGCATCAGCAGCCTGCCGGACCGTCAGAGGAGCTCAGATGGCGAGACGAGCAGACTTCTTGATCCTCGTCGACTCGCCGAGAGGGAAGGTGAAGAAGGGCCAGGCAGCCGGGAGTTTGAAAACTCTGTTGAGAGTGTGGAGGCACTCAATCAGCCAGACCTCCGGGTCTTCTTCGTTGGGTCCCTTGCCGACCTGAATTTCCCTCCGATCAGCGGGGATGTTTCATCCCTCAGGGGCGAGAGGAGGAGCGGGCGCGTACCTTGGTGAACTCGTCGATGTCGGACAAGTGAGACAAGCTGGTCTCCTGAAGCCGAGACACTTCCTCCATGAAGTCTTTCAAGAACATCTTCCATATCGGTTTCTGGAGGGAACATGTCAAATCTCGACCAGGTTGTCAAATCGGGAGATACGTTTGAGTTTGGAACGCGGCCATCGCTCTTGAAGCAGTTCAACGCCTGTACGAGAGGAGCGATCAACTTCATACAGGTACCGCGATGATTAAACGGATTTCAACAAGCCATGGGTATGAACTTTGAGCATTTCGTTCTCCTTACCTTCCAAAACCGAATCATGAACTTTGCCGGGTGTTTGAAACAGTCAGATTCGATCTCATCTGACAACTTCTCCAGACTCCTCTGTGAGATCCCGTACTTTCCATCCTCCGAGTTGAAGATGTGATCCTGTACTCTGGACAGGAGCTTTTGCAACCCGTGCTTCCAAGGAAGCTCCTTTGGGAGCAAGTCAGCTCACTCCTCCTCTTCACAACCACCCACCTGCTTTGTCATCTTGTAGAATTTCCGCGGAAGCTCGAGGAGCGTCTCGTCGCCTTCGCCCATGAAGACTGACTTGAGGGTTTTCTTGTAATTGCTGCCACGTCCTGACGAGCTCCAGGCTGACTGCAGGGCCTTGTATTTCTGCCGACCTTGTCACAACTTGTGGACAAGGAGGAGTCCTGGAAGTCACCTGGCTGAACTCAGACTTGAGAAACTTGGCTCTGTTCATGAGCTCGAGGTTTTCAATCCCCTCGTTTTTGTCTTCACTCGAATTAATGAGCTCAATCACGGTGTCGAAAACGCTGTCCACATCCTGCACCAACATGTCGGCGGTCTCGTACTCCCCCGCGTCCAGTCGCCCGATGATTTGATCTAAGTCAACGTTCTCAGCTCCCATCTGCTATTTTGTCAAACGAGCCGTGCAGGAGCAGGCGGAAATATCCACCTTGGAAACGTAGGCCTCAAGAGCATTCCAGGCGTTTGCCTGCTTTTTGACATCTTCAATCAGCTTCTTGCAGTCCTCAGGCCAGCTGTTCTCCTTGGCAATGAACTCTCTCTGCATTCCAACTCCAAACTTGGAGTTGGCATCGTCTAGAATCGGCAGGAACTTCAAAGAGTCTTTTCTATCCAGGATGTGCATGAGGTTCTGCGTAACATTCTTGGGTGAGCGAGTCGTGACAGTGCAGCGATGGGAGGATGTTGCCTGCCATTCGGTGTTGAAGATCTCTTGCATCTCTTTTGCCATCCCATGCAGCTGATGCTCCTCTTCGTAATGAGCCATCGCGTTGGAAAACACCGATCGAATGTCCCTCAAGAAGTCCTTGGGGTCAAGGTCAAGCGAAGAAACAACTCCTCTCTTTCACCTTCCGTCCTCCTCGCGTGTAATCGCCATTGGACAGCTTCTCCATCACAGTCCTGATATCCACATTCCTTTTGGCCTGGTTGGCGGCGTTTTGATCCGAGAACTGGTTCAATCGTGACCATCAAGATCGTTCGCCTGAGCATGTCTTACCTGCAGAGGCCCCATGAACGCCCACGCGTTCTCGTGCTGCAGAAAGGTGGTTAGGGAACCTTCGGCTGGAGGTGAAGAAGACACCTGGATCAACTTCTGCATCACTTCATACGCGCCTCCCTTCCATCCCGACTCCTACTCGAAAATCAGAACTCCTTGAGAGCAACAAGACCTTCCTCGCTCACCTGAACTGCACGCATGTAGACTGGATTGAGAGCTGACGACGACTTGGACCCTTCCTTGCTCTTTGAATTCGAAGACGTGGGCGGAGTGGCGGTAATCTCCTTCCTACTCGGCGTTGCTCCCGCAGCGTTCGACTTGCGGTTCATTCCGCCCATAGTGAAGTCAGCGTCATCCATCCGATCTCCTTCATCATTGTTGTAGAGGTCGCCTTGAATCTTGGCCCAGTTTTCCTCGAAGAAATTACTGATCCTTTGAGCAGCCGCGTTGACCTGTCAGGTAAGTAGCGTCAAAGTCAAAACCTCAAGCTCGATCCTCTCAACCTCTTCTGATTCTCGATGCAGCGATACCGCGTTAGAGATGATCTTGCGAACATCCGCTGCGAAGTCGTCGGGCTTCAAGTAATCTCCGTCCTTTACCAAGTGTTAGAGACAAGTTTCTTTTCCTACCTCCAAAGCCCCTCCCCCCCGCCGCTTCTCCCTCTTTGTCTCTTTCTGTCATTACAGCCAAATAAAAGATACAAACCTCGAGTTTGTTACGAATCTTTCCGAGATCCTAGTAGGAGGCTAGTTATGAACACAGAATCTCTTTGCGTCTTAACGCACCAAAGGTTCTTTCACCACGTTGTAGTAATCAGAAGTGCCCATGGTGGAAGTCTCCGCCTCCTGAGAGGAGGGTCAGCTCAGACCTTGTGTTTGCGCGTGCGCCTAACCTGTTGGAATGGCCAGACATCCTTGTGCCTTAGCAAGCGACTCAAAACTTTTGATCCCAGCTCCACATTCCACTTGGCGCTTTCCACCGCAGCATAGCCCTGTCACAAGAACGCATCAGGACGCCATCTACGCGCGAGAGCCACTCACCGTTGACAGTCGCTGACGCTTTGATGCCGGGGACATTGAGTTGATCTCGCTCTGCCGGGAAGACATCTGCTTCCGATTGGACATGCAAGTTGTCCAGGAATCCACGTGTTTCGGGCAAATTCTTGTTACATGTGCGCGGGTAGCCTTCGCAAGAACACAAAGAGATTAATCTATGTTCAGTAAGATAAAAGAAGTATTCAATTTTCTGTGATCGTTGTGTTAAATATTCTCCTCAGAGTGTTAAAGATCTTTAAATCGCCTCCTCCCTGTCTGTACTGCCGTGTCCATTGGAAAGGTCCCACGCCTAGGATGGGAGACTGAGACTGATCTCACTTGATCTCTCCCCCATACTATCCTTCCATGCATGCTCTTCTCCCTCGTCCCATCATTCTTCGCTCTCTCTCTCCCTCTCTTCCTCTTCCCCGCCCACAATTCCGTTATTTATCCGTTATCAATATCGTTATTTTATGATCATGCTGTAACGGAAGCCGGTTCACGGGCCCGCCGGTTTGACGCCACTGGAACACATCGAGAATGACCAAGAGAAGTTTTACTCAATACTGAAATTTAGCTTAACTTTGAGTAAAGAGTGACTGAAGTTCCCTATGGGTGGGGTGGTCATTTGTCAGGGTACGAGAGGGTACGGTAATGAGGGCTCGGTATAAAAGGGGGTGGTTTCCAAAGGAAAAGGGGGGTGGAGGAATCGGAGGAGTTGAAGAGGTGGGGTGGGCAAGTTCCATGGCTAGAGCGAAAATGTGTAACAATAAGAGCTTTGGCATGAAGTGCAGGAGAAGGGGGGGAGGAAGAGGAAAGAGGAGGTAGAGGAGGAGGAGAGACAAGAAGAGAGAGGGGCTGAGAGGATGAGGAAGACAAGGGGAGGAAAGGAGTAGGAGGAAGAGAAGTGGAGGAATGGTACAATGGGTGGACACGAGCCAGTCCAGCCAAGGAATACAAGAAGTCCCCAGGAGTGACACAACTTTAGAAGGTACAAGTGAGGCAGGTAGCACAGATAGTGATGCCACGATCAAGTTCGATCCTCCGTGATGAAGGACTGACACTGAAGAGCAGGCTCACAAGGAAAACAAGTCTGGCGGGTATTTCAAGAGCAAGCATGCCACTCGGCGATTCTCTACAGTGCAGTACTATTTTTTAGCCATCTCAACATCTTTCAGCTTCTTCTTCTAGTCGTTCAAAGATTCTCACCGCCATGACGTCGAAAGCAGGTTTATTCACCCCTCCCTCATCCAGCTTGGAGCTGATGTTTCCTCCGCAAGCTGCCGGCAAGCGAGCTAGGGGGATCAACTTCGATCAGGTGTGCAGGCTGCATGGATGCTTCATGGTCTTCTACGGGCTCGTCGTCTTCCTCTCCTGCGTTGCAGAGCAGTACGAGTCGTTGAGCTGGCTGACCAACGCGGGCCTGCGGCTGAACCTCCTCTACTCCTCGGCCAGCGGCAAAGACCCTCACGTGAACGCAGTCTACAGGATATTGGCGCTGTGCATGGCAGCCATCGGAATGTACGAGCTGAAAATCCCTGAGCTGGACGAGAGATACAAGGTTCTAGCTCCTCCCTCGCCTCCCTTGTCCTGACCTCAGGTCGCAGAACTACTTCAGCAAGGCTTTCGTCCTCTACTTGCTACCATGCGGCTTGTGCTTCTTCTACGACGCCTCTCAGGTGGCTCATGGTTCCTCCCTTCTCCTCTCACTTGTGGGCAGCCGTACGCTGGTCCAATGGCGATCGCCACCGCTATCGTGCCGACCTTCTTTGGGCTGGCAGGAGCTTACACCCTCATCAACAAGTGAGTTTGAAATGAGCTCTCCGTTAGCCACTTTCATCATCATCCTTGCCTAGATGAAGGATTGCGACCCTTGTTCGAGTCGAACGCTGCTGATACTTGATCGTCCCCAGCTGCAGGAGAAGAGCGTTCAACATCGACGAGGAGAAGCTGGCTAGCGTGAACTAGTCGCTGCTTTCAAGCACTCTCCTCTACCCACATGTACATATCACACCGCAAGAGACGAACCTTAATCTAATCAAAAGTTTTCATCTCATCTCTCCCAGTAGTAGTTCCATGGATTCTGTCGTATCCCGGCAGTTCGAGGACGAGACTTCGCCTGCCCCACCCGACAACCGTCAGCCGTCAACGTCCACCGCCCGTTCCCCCGAGACCTGATCATTCGAGATGGCTCCTGCTCCTCCTGCTGCCCCATCATGATACCATCGACCGATCTGCCCGCTCTCGGTCTGGAACAGCGAGCTGCTTCTCGGATAGGAGGAGAAAGTTTCGGAACTTCTGTGATAGGGGTGAATCTGGGAAGAGAGGAGGAGGAAAGGAAGGAGGAGGGTAGGGGGAAGGAAAACCTGCTGACTCGTGAACTGTGAGGTCGATGTCGTGGTTGCGGGGCGTAGATGGAATCATGCCTGGAGGAGATGAGCGAATCCCGACGCGCCTCTCATCATACCGGAACTCGAGGGTGGTGTAAGGAACTTTGATGGTGGAGGAGGTGACCACTGGGATCGTCTTGCTCCTCCGCTGCTCTTCTCCTGCTCCACGGGCAAGGTAGAGGCAGCGGGATAGGACGTGAGTTCCTTCATGCCCCGCGCTACTTCCCGCCTACCTGCCGTCCATCCTATAGCAAGCGAGTCCCATCGGCTCGATCCCTGGGCACAAGTCAGCGAGTCGCTGCTTGCCCTCCGCTCACCTTCCCCGTCCTGTGAGGAGGAGTGGGCAGGCCGTCCATGTCCAGGGGATGCACTCGACTGCGAAGTTTGTGAGCGAGGGAGCGACATGGCGGCGAGAGACCTTGAGGAGGCCGCGGAGCTCGGCTCTTCAGAGGTCCCGAGAGACAAGCCGAGGTCAGGAGGGAAACAAGGCAAGAGCTACAAGACCTGGCGCTCGTTTCAAGTCCAGCTTCGGAACCGCAGTTCGCTTCACTGGCTGCCCCCTCATCCTCCTCTCCTCTATCACCCTGGCGCTCTTCGCGCTCGACTGGAGGGGCTGAGGCCTGGGGAAAGGATTCTTCTGTGCTGGGAACGTGCCGGTGAGATCAGCAATTCTGAGCTTCGCCAGGGACTGCCAGCTGCTGGGCTGACAGAGGTCGGCGATCTTGCGGTGGAGGGAGTGGCTGATGGATGTCGATGTGCGAGCCGTGGAAAGAAACTCCTCGTTCCTACCAGAATGAAGTAAAGGGCGAAGCGAGGAAGGAGAGTACGTGAAGGAGGGAGGAGGGAGGAGGGAGAATCGGAAAATGTGAATGAGCGATCAGGGAAGGAGGAGAGAGGAAGAAGCAGATGGATAAAGAGAAGGATTCGAGGAGAAGGATTCGAGGAGAAGGAGAGGAGAGGAGACAATAAAATGGCGAGAAGTATCGAGAGGAGAGGAGAGGAGAGGAGAGGAGAGGAGATGAGGGGAGGGGAGGGGAGGGGAGAGGAGAGGAGAATGAGGTAGGAGCGGACGTGAGGAGACTGGTAGGAGGGGAGGCACCATGCTGACCTGGAGCGGTATTCCATCTTCGCCGCCTGTACCATGATAACGGCTGTAAGACTT